ACGTAAAATTATGCATAATTACCAACATTATGTAAAGCATTAGCTACTGGTAACCTGTAGAACGAAGGATACTGATGGATATCGAAGTATAGACTATGTAGTAAATATGTAGTAAATATTACTATCTTACTGCTGATTAAGAATAAGCTAGAATATGTAAGTATGATTTCGCGTCTTTCTAAATCGGTAGATAACAATTTGTATGGTTGCTTTTTCTGCAGTTGCTATTTCTCCGCTTCATCACGCCGCGCTTTGCAGGAGCTCTGACGAGCTAACACTCGATCTAACACTTTTCTAGCCTACATTCTTGAAAAACATGTTTATGTAAATTATTTGAACACGTATAACACTCGTAATTTATTTGAGCTAGGACTTACTCTTCAAACGTGATTTGCATTTAATTAGATTAATTAAAATTTGCCTCGACATTTTCTTTGTGAATGATTGATATAATCGATAATTACGTTGCTACGAAAATAATTCTAAAGCACCCGAAAAACAAGTGAATCGCCAACCAATCAATTGTCGTTGCGTACCAGTCCGCAAGCTAGTGTAAAAATCTTGCGAAAGCACGGAAAGAGATAAAGAACGAGAAAAAAAGAGACACCCACAGCAGCTACATAAATTCCTATCGCACGCTATATATATAGAGAGAGCAGCTTATTTGCAAGCTCGATGCCCGAGCTGTCGCGTGTATTTAAAATTGAAATTCCTTCTTACTCGACAGGCGCGCGGTCGAATCGATCATTGCCTCGCGCGAATATCTTTCCTCACCGGAAACGCAAAAGTGATTTACAGTCTATTTTAGCGAAACACAGAAGAGAGAAAGGGGAAAAAAAGAAGGGTAAACAGACTAAAAAAAAAAAGAAGAAACATGCACCTACGTATTTTCCTTTATTCGCTTTTTCTCTCTCCCTCTCTCTCTCTCTCTCTCTCTCTCTCTCTCTCTCGTGTTCTGAAAGAGAGTAATTGCCTGTATGTGCATGTGCAAACAGCGTATGCACGTGAGACGATGATTAAGCGAATGTTGCGTTGGAATGGAGAAGGGTTAAACGCAGCTAGCTACCCTTGATTTATCCACGATACTTCGCCATGATTTCTATGCGATCCCGCGAGCGAAGGGAGGTTCTGCAGTGACATCGACAGTAGCTGCTATTCAACTCCGCCGATTCGACTGACGCTCTTGTGTATTTAACTACTGGGGCGCAGCACGTGGACACGCTTAACGAGCCAGCTGCAGAAAGAGCAGATAGCACGACGCGGAGTGCTGAACGGAAAGTCGTTCTCTCGAGTGCCTTGATGAATGATATAATCTACTGACTGCGCAACGCGTCTCGTTCAAATTTTTTTTTCTCCCTGCCGCTTCCCTCGCGAACTTTTACTTTCTGACTGCTCTCTTTTTCGATCGGCTGTGTTTCAGCTTGTCGATCAACCTTTAACACTTTGCGCGGGATAACGCACAGCGACGCTCATAGGCATTTTCACATTTCATCCAACTAGAATGATACTTGTTTATTACTGCCGCCGAACAATGAGAGACCCAATTTGAAATTATGACAATGGTAAATATTAGTGAGATTTGGACGCATGACATGACCAGATAGCAATTACATAAACAATGCACAGCGGACAATCGACAATTAGCCTACATTGCGGATTGTTATTTTAAAATTAGAAACGTGTTTTAATTTTCATTTTCTCGTTTTAATGAATAGTTGGCTATCTAGATTAAACTTCTATTTTATAAATTATTTTTGAAGATAAGGTGTACAAGAGATCGAATTTGTCATTTTTAAAGCAAAATTACTAATTTACACGATATTTACACTGCTCTTGAAAAAATAGGAGGGTTTTAGCAGATAACAGCGCATAAAAGTCGATTATAGATTGCCCTTTTCATTCGAATCCGTGATCGGGAAAATGTGTACTTGGCTTATCAGCCCTACGGTTTTTGTCAGCTTGGGTGCAAACATATATAAATAACAACGGTATCTTTTCTTATTGAAAAATACAGCTTATCAAAACAATTTTATCATTGTCTACTGGTATTCATTAAAATTAGTAACGATTACCACATATCGAACTAAAAATTTTTTTTTGCTCGATATTAAAAGATTTCTACACTAAAAAATGATTCTTATTTACGCACGAATATTTTGGATTGAAAAAAGAAGACTTCGAGAGAAAGTAGCGATCGACAAAGCCTTTTGCGACTCAATCTATATGGCACACCATCTATGGTTGGCTTGATGCGAACGTCAAAAAGTGCTTACGTGAAGAAAGGCGCAGAAGACGATGTAGACGAAAAAGCCGATGCCGAGTAAAACAAGTGACATGAAGCCCAAGGCTCGAAAATACGGCCTTCCGTGAATCAACTGCTCCCAGGCACCAAGTCATCTGATCGAGTCTGACGCGAAACTAGCTCTTTGCGTCACCTTTGTAGTCATAACGTTGAACAAAGTACCTGAAGTACAAAGATAAGTCTGAACTTCGTGATCAATCAAATATTATATAAACTGCTTCTTTCTCTTTTTATTTGTTCAGAAATTATGATCAATCATATTTTTATACTTCATATTTTGTTTGTTTAAATATGTAGCTTATTTTATCTGATTGCTAATTATCGTTCACTTCATTTTAGTATAAATAGATTCATCAGTATAAAGGATCCAATCAAATTTTCGAAAGCTCGAATTTGCGGCAAACTGAAAATTGACATCAACAGAAATGAAGTTTATAATTACGTTTTTCAATAATTAACCAATCATTGGTGGTATTTTTTTTTCTTTTGTCCTTGTGCGAACTCCACGAAATATTACAATTATTGTATACGTATATACGTATCTCGTATCTGCATTTCGATCGATTAATGCCGTTTTCATGAACGCGTGTCGCCGCACACACGCGCGCGCATACGCACCGCAGACATGGACTTCACCCTTGGAATTACAGCCGACTCTGGTTCATCCTGCGAGGCAAAAACTCATCGCATGGCCTAAACGTGCTCGACATAACGATTCAACGCATTATGCGCCAAGTGGTTAAAGACCTCCACATCTCTCTCTCTCTCTCTCTCTCTCTCTCTCTCTCTCTCTCTCTCCCCCCTGTTTATACGAGCAAATTCATGATATATGGCAGGTTTTAGCCGCAAAACGCGTAACACCGCTGCCACCGCACGAATTATCGTAACAAGCAAATCACACTCGAACCTATAAATAGAATTGAAAGCGAGAGCAAGCGCTTTCATAGAAAATAGATTCCTAAACCGATTTAAAACTCCATTACAGGGGGATCGTAGCAAACGTCGACGTAGGCCTCTTTTTACTTCGCGCGCGCGCGATCCGTTTTTCTGTTTTTCATCTCCGAAAAGACAAAGGGAAGCTAGCTTAACTGCGATGACGACGACAACGAAGCCTCGGGCTTTGATGGAGTCATTTAGTTAACTTGAACGTCGTCTCGATAAAATGCTCATAAACTTATAATATTTCTATGTCCTCAAACTATCACCAGCTGTATAGGGCTTGCGAATACGCCGTTGGCAGTCGGGCCACGTAGGTAGCTTCGCGCGCAGTCAGCTCAACTTACTCTCTAAGGGAGGAAAATACGAATGATTCCAGGACGATAATCGGAAAGAGCCAGCAGTGCTACTATAGGCTCTATATATGGCGTATTTACTCGCGAGCGCGGTCGCTATGGCCGTATATAGGAAAAATGCCGTGCAACAGTACAGTGAAGAATCGACTGGTGGCTCATATCTATCTATCCGTCCTATCGTTTCTCTGTACCTCTGTATGTGTGTGTGTGTGTGTGTGTGTGCACGCGAAGCTTATGTATTTATAGCGGGTCGAGAGGGACGAGTGAGCTGCATTGCTATTTTTCGATGGAATAAAATTTCTCTTGGAAATTTATGACTTCTTAGAGGCTATCCATACATTGTTCCCTAAAACTTTTAGTCTCTCCTCGTCGTTTATCGCGGCATCATCATTTTACTGTAGCGTTTATGGACGAATTTTGTGTATGTTGAACAATTTTATTGACTGTTACTAAGGAGATCATCAGTATTTACGTTGGCAGTAAAAATGTTTTCTGTTCTTAAAAAGATTGTATTCCCAAACAAATATAACTATCAAGAAGAGAATTAGATTCTCTTTCAGACGAAATCATTATCACTTTAAATATTTTCTTCTTGGAGCTGAAAACTTTATTCATAAATCAAAATAAACTTAACAACTTATTCAATCATCGATCATAATTTTATCCAATTATAGAAATAATGCTTGCATAAAATTTACAAATTGTTGTTTTTGTAGACAGATTGTAAATAAAGATGGTTAAAAAATAAAAAAATAAATTTTAGGTAATGGCTTTTTTACATAGCTAATTTAAAATACTTCTATGACGTATATTTTATTATGTATAGTACTTTCGACAATTTTGACTTTAAGACTTCATTTAGGATCAGTCGGTAAAAGCGGAATTTCGAGGAACAGTTCACCTACGGAAGGCTATTGGTACGCGAATACAGTGGTATAGAGGATAACCAGCAGAGTGAGACAACAGTTCATATTCATAGTGAAACGACTCGAGGGATGATATTGGTCTGTACGATATCAGTTTGCTATTTATGATATCATTTTCATCAATAATCGAATGGACCTATATACAACTATGCAATATTTAAATAGCCTGCGTAAATCTGTAAAATATGATACGCTTGTTAAAGTTCAAATATGTACAAAATAAATTGGTAAATTCAAATTGTTAACCGCAAATAAATTCAATAAAATAAAATCTTACTTTGATGCTTTGACTCAGTGTATAAATCTTACAATACGAATGATTAATTATTTAATTTGATAAGATACTACTGATATACTAAGAATATAATATAATTTTCGTATCCGGACAATTTAAATCTATTATACTAAGATTAAATTAATTTCTATTTATTAAATATGTCAAAATAATTGATAATCCCTTTAATATATTCGTAAATAAAATTATGCAACTCCAAACCATCCTTCGAATGGCCAAATTGAAGAAATTATATTTTCAAGAATAGTACTATTTCCTTTCTCTTTTTTATCACGAGCTTTGCATTGCTTTTCGTACATTGCATCAACTTTTTTTATATCCTTTTCACTGAAGCCATCTCGTTGTCCAAGCGTTACATTTTCTTTCTAAAATTCAAAATATACGGTAAAGTACACTGCCAATGCCATTGCAAACATCAAATAAACGTGTCTTACTTTACAAAGAATAGTGAAATTTCCGTTTTTCGAAAAAGCCTTGGCACTGTAATGCATAACGCTGCCATAATCGTAGGTCACGCCGTAATCGCTGACTGTTTTATTATCGTACTTATCGAAGTTGTGTTCTCTGCCCGGTGTGATATTGTCCCAGACTATTGTGATCCAGTCGTCGCGATCGGCTGCACTTTGTTGGTGATAAAAGCCAAGTGCGTGCATAAACTCGTGAATGATGGTGCCAGGACGAAGACAGCCTGGATTTTGAAAGTTCACTACTTGACCCTCGCCGTGTTTACCCACGTAAGACCAACATCCGGTGCTGTCGCCTTTCACGATTATGAAATCCTTATCGCCTTTCTTATAAGGACGGAAGCGCACACACGTCTTCTCGTGATAAACCTTTAGCGCCTTTTCGATCTTTTCGATTTGCACTTCGCCTGTAATTCAGTGGCAATTCATTGTAAAAACATGAGAGTTGTCTTCAACGGGATTCACTATGTATCATAATGTTTTATTACTTTCTCGCGATGTCGATATAACTGCAATTCGAAGTTTTATTAATGAGACATGAAAACGTTGAAGCATTTTTACTTTAAAAAGTGGGCGACGAATCAGACTAAAGAAAAATAATGATTTCACACGAATTATTGAAGAAAGTAAAGAAAAGAATATTATTGTCTTAATAAATACTTACTAAAATCATCCTCTTCAATATGATAAGGTATAACAGCATCGGGCCACCTTTTAGCCACATCTAGAATACCATTTTTACCTACTTTTGATATACCCATCATATCTCCTTCATATAAACCACTTAATTCCCAAATATAGTTATCATCTTCTGGTTTCCACTTATTCATTTTTTCCTCTGAATTATTATCAAGTATATCCATTATAACTTATTTTCTTGCAGTTCTCATTGGATAAATCCAAATTGTAAACAAAATTGTCAGTTATACACACCAATTTTTTTGCGATCATGTTCATCATCGAAAATTCCAACATGCTTCGGCGAAGGAGGTACATCTTTTATTTTTGATCTATCAAGTGACAGACCAGATACTAACACATACGTCGAGCAAAATAAAACAATGAATTGCGCTAAGTGGAACATTGTTTCTGAGAAACCACTTGGGAAATACTGCAACGTTGTTTTAAGAGTGAGTCTACTTTATATAGCAAGGTTAGAAGGGTTTTAGAGGTCGAAAATTTGGTTTTCTTGACACACTTGTTTTTTAACAGTCTCACGTAGATTGATATGCAAAGTGACATTATCGTTAACATATCTTTTGAGACTTCCGAATAAGAATGTCTACTGGAATCTGAGTATATTAATTGCATTGCACGCCTTTGAATTCGCATACACCTGCATAACGGATGATTTACGCAAAAGAAAATTTCCAAGTCTAATCTCGAATACAAATCTAAAAAAATTTTAATTACATTGTAAAAGTAATTAATCTACAAAAACGTGACATCCAAAAATATCTAAAAAAAAATAACCCATTTTAATTGCCGGTCACTGGCATGTCATTGCTGGCGAAGAGCGAGCGCACAAACGAAGAAAAAAAAATTAAGCGAGGCGCCACATGTAGCGCATCCAATTTCGGTAGCAAGTAGCAGAAGTTAAAAGAATCTTTTATGCTTGAGGCGATGATTGCCGTCGTTGATCTGGGTCAGGACGATTCGGTAGCCGACAAGCGTATAATGTGGTTCGCTGAGCAACTCGCGCGCGCCACGCTCTTATCTCCATCCGAATCGTTAAGAAAAAAAAACGGTTACCACCTTTCGCGAGCGGCCTGTTTTATTATATACCTTCCTTTCGTTTCATTTTACGCCTTTTTACCATTTGGATTCCAAAAGTCCTGTTTTCTTTGAGATGTCACAAGCAGCATGCTTTTTTTAGTTGATTAATGTATCGATTGTTTGCCTTTTAATTGACAGCTTGTGCAAACTTGTAGTTACGTACAAGATAAGAGTTATTTTCGAATATATTTAAAGTAAATTCAAAATCTTTATTCGGTCGTTTGTTCATCTGATCAGAGAAGTATTTTGATCCTATGAAGCTATAATGAAGTTCCAAAAGTCACAGCTTGCTATCCTAATCTTTCTCTTTACACTAGTAGTTTTACCAATGATTTCAATTCCTATACCACTATTTTCGTCAGTGCTAACTGATGGAATTTCATATAAAAAGATGACGTGAAATCATCAAATAATAATGAACAAATGTCTACACGTGAATCAAAAAGATATGAAAAATTACAATGACTAGTCGTTGAGATCTCTTAATATCGCCGATATACAGTAGTTGTTATTCGAGGATAAACACCTGAATGAAAAGAAAAATCGATCTTGAAATCACACGTGATGCAATCATTATTGGCAATTTTCCTCGCCATTTCAATTTCAGAAAATATGGCAAATATGCATGAAAGAATAATCGGTGAAATGGATTTGTTTACAATTATAATTCAGTTTAAAATTAGTCCAGATAAAATACTCGTATAATAATTTGCTGGAAACGAAGTAAAATTTTCCATTTTCATAGCACATCAGAGTATAAAGTTCTACGTAGGTAGTGTAATTGACGTCATAGAAAAATTCTGCGGAAAGTTAATTCACAAAAATATTACGTAGCTATGACAGCAATCGAGCGATAGTGCCCCTATAACATGTGTAATAAAAACTACCGTTTCCTTCATTCAATTATTTACACTTCATTTAATGTAAAATCTTCCACTGTAAATGAAAATTGCGGTGAAACTCTATTTCACGAAACAATTTCATGTCTCCCTTTTGAATGGAATCTAGACAAAATAGATGTAAAATAAAAATAAATGAAGTAATCGGGCCATAAATTCGTATGGAGACAGACTCGTACTCACGTAAAACGAAATGCAAAGCTGAAGAAAAGAGAGCAAAACAATAAAATAAAGAGAAAATCGTTAATTAAGGAATTGGGATCAAAGAAACTGCCGATGAGGTGCAGTACACACACGTGCATATACGATCGAAAGCTGCATCGCGCGCTGTTTGATGCACCGAGCCGTCGCGGAGGCATGATGTTGAAGGAGACTATTGGGCGCGCAAAATCAAGTGCATACGACGCAAAAAGAGAGACTTCCAGTCAGGCTATAAAATTTAGGCTACGAGGAGAGAAGCCCATACTTGAATCTGGAACGAGAGACGGTTCGTTGGCTTGAAGCACCAACAGCAGCAGCAAGATATCGCGCAGCATCGAGATCATGCTAATGATCAAGCGTCACTTTTTTTCGGTAACGTTTTCTCGGAACTCTCCTCAACTTCCCTAACGAGTTTCTAATTCTGCACCGCACACTCTATGACATCTTATACATTTGAAAATACACAGCTCGCCATACGAATATCTTTTAATGCGCATATACATAAAAGTCGTCGGCTCTTTATTTTTCGGGCTAATGTAATCGATGAGTTTGACTGATTAACGTTTTTACACAGTCATTTGCTACGTAAATTAACCGAAAAACAGAATCCGTTTCTTTCCTCAGCGTGAATTCATTAAACTCGACACTAATTTTGCCATTTCTTTTATTATATGACACAGCAGAACATCTATGTGAAATTTTCTCTACTTCCAATAGCAACATGTGTTTATAAAGCATTCAGTGATACTCAGAGCTATCAACGTGATTAATAGTCCACAACAATTCATAACTCACGCACATATGTGTAATAGGCAGTAGCGTAAGAATAACACAGCAGCGCATTTACCTACAAATCGCAAGAGTTTAAAAGTGCATTACATTGCGTAAATGGAAAACCATAGTGGCTCTCTTGTCGTATAATTCTTTTTTTTTTTCAATTGAAGAAACGATCGGCGCCAATCATTGCCAAGAATTCAAGTCGCCCTTACATCACACGCTATAATTACTAAGTCAATGCGCGTGCAAAAGTCTAAACAAAACAAAAGCCTACTGAAAAATGTGCTTGTACCTGCCAAGCGATGTGTATATACAATACACTTGTACGCTTTGGAGCATGCTGTCGCTGCAGATTATGTTGAAAAAGCTACTTGCTATCGCGGAAAATGATGTTTGCATTCGTAGCTTATATATACTTTACTGAAATCTATCTAGATGCGACATAAATCTTTATTTTTAGAGAGCGCTCCTTATTGCAATTTCACCTCTGCACAAACATCCTCGCAGATATTATAACCTCGTAAAATTACAATCCATAACTGCGCACGAGCTGAAGATAGAAATGAGGAAAATGATTAAGATCGAGCATATGATTATTAAAGAGAGAGAAACTTTATGTGAGTAAATAAACAACTTGGAGTCAATAAACTTCTATGCATCGGTAATTAGATACTCCACTTGCATATGGTGTCAACCTGTTATAATTAGTATCTATTAACGACTAATTAGATTACTAAAGTTCGCGCGTTCCATGTAAAATTGAGACATTAGTTATAACTACCTGCTTATTTTATTATAAGAAAAATAATCGAATTTTTGCCAAAATACAATTATTTTATAGTTATGGTAAATCCATATACATATTCGATATCGCTTAATTGCTGGCACGCGTGTAATGTGCGTTTAGCAGCGAATTTCGCGCGCAGCCGAGCACGAAATATTATCTCACGCGAAGAATTTGCGCAAGGGAAATGGGTATGTAGCCTACGATATAGCACGTGATGTGAGTAAGTGATACTTGGCTCGTTATCGTGTGCGTTTTAGCCGAATGAAAGCTGGGCATTCACGTTAGACGTGCATTGTCAAGACGTCAAGATTGATATCAAGATTTACGCTTCTAGTTACCAAAGTAAGTAGCCTACGAAATAAGATTTGCCGAGGTTACTTTACTCGCTGATGCGTATATGAATTTTAACATTTGAAATAACTCCCGTTTCTTTTAAAAAGTATACATAAGTTCAGTTTACTTTAGAATAATTGTAGCCGTTAGGGTGGATAAAAAAATTATTCGTTTTCCGTTACGCGTGTGCTGCTCATTATACAGAGTACATCAACTTTTCGTAAATTGTACCAAGATAATTTTTATTGACTGCAATTAAATTTTTTCTTTAATAAAAATTCATTTCTAAATATTAATCTATAAAAGTATAATAATTTTTTGACATCATTATATTTTTAAATAATGCAATTAGCCATTACTGAAAACATTTCTAGTAAAATAAGTCAATTTCCAAAGCATACCCTCAAGGAATATAAACTTAAATTGATCGTAAAAGAATAATGGAATTAAAAGGACGTGGCACACGCCGGCATACACAAAAGGTAAACGGACACGGAAAGGCGCCGAGCGAGAGGATTTTTCAACGGCGGCAAGCTACTCGTGAACCACTGACCCACTGATGGATCAAGCGACGGGGGACCAACGTAGTGAGGTGAGAATAGCCATCACTGAGGTACGTATGCGTATATACACATTTTATTTCGGTAGCCAGTCAATGAAGGGAAGCGATGCTGAGTTCGATGACCTCGTCTACCTCCTACTACTACTGTTTCCTTATTTCTCTTTTTGCGTTATCATTCACTCCAAGAGCTTCTTTCTTCTCTCTTTCTCTCTCCCTCTCTCTCTCTCTCTCTCTCACTCCCCTGTACCTCTCTCGCTCTCTCATTCTCTCTCTTTTTCCTTCTTCTTGTTTTCCCTCTTGCTTGCTCTGCTTCAACATACCTTTTTCCTACTCTTTTATTCATGTATTCAACTCTAACATCTTTTTGCGTATACTGTACAGTTTGCATATATTTTATATATACACTCTGGCTAGATCAACATTTGATATTGATATTATTTGTAACTGAAAACAAACCAGCAATGAAATTGTCACCATTCATTTCAATGTGAATATTTGTTTTTTGTGTGGTTAATGTCTTTCAGCAAAAATGTTTAAGTAGACCTAAGCTGTCAGCTTGATGTATTCACTGTAAATAAGGGCGGAGTTCTGGGCCGATGGCATTATTCACGGTCACAGGACGCCTGATTTATTAAGAGCATTTTTACATTATGAAATTAAACATTATGAAATTATTAATTGAAACATTATGAAATTAAATGGTTTAATGGTTTTCTTCGACTCACCATATTTTATAAACTCACTGTAAG